GCCCAGCCGGGAAGCCCCCGCCGGCCTGTTCCCGGGCCTGGCCCGCCCCCTCCCGCCGCGCTCCCAGCCTCACCCGCAGGGTCTCCAACTCCTTGCGAGCCTGGGTTAGCTGCTTCTCCAGCTCTGCGATCTTGGCCATGGACTCGTTCTCCGCGTCCCGGAGCCGCTCTGTCAGCTGTGACGGCACTTGGTGAGCTACCCCCCGCAGCCGGGCATTGGCACCGTCGCTGAGGGGGCGGCCGCAGGCAGGCCTGCCTGGAGCACGGGGGAGGCTCCTAGATCCGCTCAGCCCGGGTGCCAAGGGGGGGCCAGGCCTGGCACTCAGACCCAGGCGAATGGGGGTAAACAGGGCGCCCCGATGAGGGAGGGAAGTGGAGAGGGGGGTCTGAGGCGGGAGGGGCCCTGGGCACCCAGTTTACCCAAGTCAGGGCCTGGGGTCTAAGCCTCTGTGGAGGAGAGGCTGCCGCCCCCTAGGCCCAGCCCAGGGAGGGAGCTCGCTGCACCGGCATTGAGAAGGACACCCTGGAGTCAGGATTGGGGTTCAGGCCAAGCTCAGGGGTCAGGCAGACAGCACCTCCAGGTCACACCTAAAACAGCCTCTGTGCCCCGAGCACCAGGCCAGCGTGGGGCCCTGTGACCCACGTGTCCCATGGGTCTACTACTGCTGGTCTGTGACCTGCATGTCTCGTGGGCCTACTACACTCTGGGCTGTGACCTATGTGTCCTGTGGGGCTACTACACACTGGGCTATGACCTGAGTGTTGTGTGGGCCTACTACGCACTGAGCTGTTACCTGAGTGTCCCATGGGCCTACTACACACTGGGCTGTGACCCGCATGTCCCGTGGGCCTACTGCATGCTGTGCTGTCACCCATGTGTCCGGTGGGCTTACTACACTCTGGGCTGTGACCCACGAATCCTGTGGGCTACTAAACACTGGGCTGTGACCTATGTGTTCTGTGGGGCTACTACGCGCTGCACTGTGACCCGCGTGTCCTGTGGGCCTACTACGTGCTGGGCTGTCACCCATGTGTCCCGTGGGCTTACTACATACTGGGCCGGGACTTGCATGTTCTGTGGGCCTACTACACGCTGGGCTGTGACCCACATGTCACATGGGCCTACTACACGCTGGGCTGTGACCCACACGTCCTGTGGGCCTACTACACTCTGGGCTGTGACCCACCTGTCATGTGAGCCTACTATGTGCTGGGCTGTGACCCTGCATGTCCCATGAGCCTCCTGAATGCTGGACTGGGGTCAGGCCCGGCTCTCACCAGCGCCACCTGCTCCTGCAGCTCCTCCATGTGCTCCAGCACGGCATTCTTGGTTTCCGTGTCCTCCAGCAGGGCACCCACATCAAACACGTTGTCCAGGTATGCCTGGATCTGCACCTGCAGCTTGTCACTCTCCGTGAGCCGGAGCCTCTGCCCCAGATGGAAGGAGCAAGGTGAGGCTGGGTGCAGGGGTCTTGGCAGCCCTGCCAACACCGCTGGGACTCAGAGGAAGGGGACTTGGCCCCTTAAATAGGGATGAGGTCTTGCTATGTTGCCCAGGCTGGTCTCAAACTCCTGGGCGCTTTATTTTTTATTCAGATATAATTCCCCAAACTCACTGACTTAAAGTGTACAGTTCAGTAGGTCTTAATCTAGTCACAAGGTTGTACAACTATCACCCTTTTTTTTTTTTTTTTTTGAGTCAGGGCCTCACTCTGTCACCCACACTGGAGTGCAGTGGCACAATCATGGCTCACCACAGCCTCCACCTCCTGGGCTCAGGCGATCCTCCTGCCTCGGCCTCCCAAGTAGCTGGGACTACAGACATGTGCCACCACATCTGGCTAATTTTTTTTATTTTTTGTAGAGAAGAGATCTCATTATGTTGCCCAGGCTGGTCTTGAACTCCTGGCCTCAAGTGGTTCTCCCACCTCAGCCTCCCAAACACTGGGATTTCAGGCATGAGCCATTGCTACATCCACCTTTTGTTTATCCTGGCTTTCAAAGATCCAATCCCAAAGGCCCTGCTCCTCCAGGAAACCTCCCAAGGGAATCAGAGAAGGGGCTGCAGCTTCTCTGTCCAGGCTGGGCCAGGAAGCAGCTCTGCCCACCTTTTCTACTACACCATGGCAAGACCTCATCTCTAAAATAAATTTTAAAAACGAGCCAGGTGTGGTGGTGTGCGCCTGTAGCTACTTGGGAGCTGGGCGTGGGAGGGTCACCTGAGCCCAGGAGGTCGAGGCTGCGGTGGCTGTGAGCGTGCTGCTGCACTCCAGCCTGGGCGACAGAGGGAAACTGACTCTCACCAGCATCACCTGCTCCTGCAGCTCCTCCGTGTGGGAGAAGCACCATGTTCTCCTCCATGACCTGGACCCACCCAGCATGACCTGGCTCCCACTTCCCCAGCGTCTGGGGACTCCCCATAATGTGCTGGAGTCAGAGCGTCTGTCTGAGGCTAGGGCTCCCAGACCTAGGGCTGCCTTGGGCCTGTTCCAGCGCCTGCAAAGACAGCTCCGTGGACTGAGGGCCTGCTGTGTGCCAGATGCTGTTCCACACATTTAGAATGAGGATTATCCCTCCATTTGACAGATGGCAAAACCGAGACTCAGAGAGGGGGGAGACACCTACCCAAGGTCACAGGGCTGGAAAGCACCAGAATTTGAACCCAGGTCTGCCTGACCCCTGCACCCTGCAGGGTGCGGGCGTTCAGTCTGGGGGTGCAGGCTCACCTCCAAGTACAGGTCCAGGCCCAGGTGGGTGAACTCATATTGTAGGAAGACACGGAAGTTCATGTTCTCCACCGAATGCACCACGATGTTGATGAATTGCATGCAAGCCACCTGGGGGGACATAACTGGGTCTAGAATCCCCACGGCGGGGGTGTCCAGTGCCTTCTGCCCCCATCCCCTTCTTGCACAGTGTTCATTCCGACAGCCCAGTTTCGGCCCTCCCGGCATTCACCTCTGTCTCCAGCTCCCCTCGCTCTCCGCTAATGTCCACCCACCCCCCACTGACCACAAGGCCCTCACACTTTGCTGGGGCAGAGCCAGAGCCAGACACCCTGGACCCCAGCTGCTCCCTGCACCCAAGAGGGTCCAGCCCAGGCCTTGGGCCGCGGGGCTCCCACACGCACCATGAAGTCAATGTTGCTGTCCTCGTTCCGAAAGTATTCCATAAGCTTCTCAAAGCGGTGCTGCTCCCCACACACCTGGGAAGAGGGAGCAGCTCTCACCAAGTCTGGCGACACCCCTCCAGAGCCTGTGTGCCAGCTACACCCCAAGCCGGGCCACATGGCTCCTCAGCGCAAAACTCTCTCTCCCTCTCGGGCTCCCCCATGGCCCTGCCCTCATTCCTCCACCCTGGCCACGCCGGCATCCTGGCACGACCCACCAAGGGCCCTTGGCACTTGCAGTTCCAACTGCCTGGTATGGAACCCCACACCAAGCCCCGTGCTTCCCCCACGGCTTGGCTGGAATCTCACCTGCTTGGTGATGCCCTCCCTGACCTCCCTGCAACCCGCCCCCCCCGCCATGTCCCTGACTTGTCCCCCATGGCATTCATTGCTTCCTAACACACCGTGTCATCTGTTCATATATTTATTTTAGTCGGAGTCTCACTCTGTCGCCCAGGATGGAGTGCAATGGCACACTCACAGCTCCCACAGCCTCGACTTCCTGGGCTCAGGTGATCCTCCCACCTTAGCATCCCAAATAGCTGAGACTACAGGCTCATGCCACCACACCCAGCTCATTTTTTAAATTCATTGTAGAGTCAAGGTCTCGCCATATTGTCCAGGTTGGTCTCGAACTCCTGACCTCAGACAGCCCTCTTGCCTTGGCCTCCCAGATGTTCCTAGATTACCCTGTTGTTTGTGTCTCCTCTTGCCTTCTTTATTTCCTGTGTTCACCGATGCCCCCCAGGCCCACTCCCGTGCCTGACATAGTAGACACTCAATAAATATTCATGAAAAGAATGAATGAGCAGATCCTGTCCCGGTACCCTGTTTCCACCCATCTATCCCTGGCAGCCTGTTAGCTGGAGGCAGCGGCTCCAGGAGGTGAGGACCAAGTCCCGTCTGGACCTGGAAAGGCTGAGAGTCCAAGGATCAGCACAACCCTGTGATGGACACTGTTGCCAGGCCCATCTGCCCCTTCCCCTTCCTGTCATAACTTCCCTCCCAGATCCGCCTCTGAGTTCCCTAAATGGCATTCATGTCCCCCATGGCATTCATTGCTTCCTAACACACCGTGTCATCTGTTCATATATTTATTTTAGTCGGAGTCTCACTCTGTCGCCCAGGATGGAGTTCTCCCTCCAGCAGAGGCCACAACGGCCAGCAGTGAGGTAGCACTGCAGGGGCCAGCACATGTTATGGCAGGGCGGGCGGGGGGTCGGGGTGTGTGTGTCCAGTACCTCCTTGAAGTTGTCAAAGGCTGCGAGGATGATGTCATGCCCTCCGCGCACCAGGCACACGGCCGCCAGCAGCTCCAGCACCAGGGCCTTGGTTCTGGGGAGACAAGGGGGGTCATCCCTTGAGAACAGGCAGGCCCGCAGCAAAGACGATGTGGGCCCAGCCAGGAGGACGGGGAGCTGGTGGAGGGGGATGAGCCTGGGCAGTGGTCCCAAGAACTGGGGGACTCTGCTGGCCAGGTAAAGGTTCTGAATGTGGAGGGATGAGGGCATGGACTCACCTAGGGTTCTTGTTGTTGAGGCTCAGAGCAATCTCGTTGACACAGGCGGGGTGGTTCATGACAAGGCTGAAGCCAGACTGGGGAGAGAGGAGAGGTCAGCGCCTCCAGGCAGTCCTCCAGGACTGTCAGTACCCTCCTGTCCAGCACCCCTAGCAGAGTCAGCCACGCCGTTCTGATCTCCAGCTGCCCTCAAGCTTGCGAAGTCCTTCTGCATATCCAACCACAGTCTCTTCTGTGGCACCCAAAGACTGGCCCTGGCCCTCTTTTTAAATACCTCTGTTGGGTCAAAAGCCAGCACAGGCACCATGTATGCAGTGAGTCCCTAAGGTTGGCTCAGTGAGGGAGGACCCAGCTTCACCAATCAACCCCAACCAAGATGGCCAAACAAGACAGCTGCTAAAGATAGGGGCTTCTGTGTGGGCACGGTGGCTCACGCCTGTAATCCCAACTTTGGGAGGCTGAGGCGGAAGGATTGCTTAAGCCCAGTAGTTTGAGACCAGCCTGGGCAACAGAACAAGACCCTGTCTATACCAAAAAATTAAAAATTTAAAAAATTAGCCAGGCGTGGTGGCACATGCCTGTAGTCCCAGCTACTCGGGAAGCCAAGACGCGGGGAAGAAGCTGGTGGTGTGCACCTGTAGTCCGAGCTACTCAGGAGGCTGAGGCAGGAGAACTGCCTGAGCCCAGGAGGTCGAGCATGTGATCAGTCATGATTAGGCTGCACTCCAGCTTGGGCAACAGAGGAAGACCCCAACTCAAAAAAAAAAGAAGAAAATATGGGCCCCCCCCGAGACGCATCAGCCTCCAGCCTGAGCCAACAGCCCAGATCCCAGGGCTTCCCAGTGGGGGACCAAGAGGAGGGGCAATTGGTCCCAGACCTCAGCAGCTTGTGCAGCCCCCAGCAAGGATGGCCTGGTTCCTCCAGCCCCACGCCCAGCCCACCTGGTAGTTCATGATGGCACGCAGGCACATGATACAGACGTGGACGTCGTCCTTCTGGCTGACGATGCGTGAATTCCGCAGGGCCTTCCTGCTGTGGGCCGGAGTCAGTCTGGCAGGGGTGGAGGAGGGCAGGGGTCAGAGTGCCAAGCCCCTGCTCCCCGTGCCCCCCACCACTCAGACGCATCTGGAGTGAGAAGGAGCACATCTGGAACCTCTCCTGAGAGGCCACTGAGGGCAGGCAGGCTTCCTCAGTCCTTGGGCCTGGGGTCTGGCATGCCAGGGAGGGAAGGAGGGGGGACACGGAAGCAAAGACCCTTAACAGTGATTTGGTCAGTGGAGAGCCTATGGATGGCAGAGACAGGCCAGGTGCAGTGGCTCATACCTGTCATCCCAGCACTTTGGGAGGCCAAGGCGAGAGGATCGCCTGAGCCCAGGAGTTCAAGGGAGCTGGGCAACATACAAGGGCCCATCTCTACAAAAAATCAAAAATTTAGCCGGTGTGGTGGCACATGCCTGTAGTCCCAGCTACTCGGGAGGCCAAGGCAGAGGGTCACTTACAGCAAAACCCTATCTCTAAAAATTAAAAAAAAAAGGAAGGAAAAGACAGCCAAGACAACCAGGCCCAGTGGCTCACGCCTATAATCCCAGCACTTTGGGAGGCCAAGGCAGGAGGATTGCCTGAGGCCAGGAGTTCAAAACTAGCCTGGACAAAATAGCAAGAGTCGATTGAGAAAAAGAAAAAGAAAAAAAAGCCAGCCAGTGCTTGGAAACCTCCTGGGAAGGACTTCCACAAAGTGGCATCCACAGTGACCTGGGCTCATCTTCCGCCGTGAGAGGCGGATTCTGAATTCAGACCACCGCGTGGTTCAAGAACATTCCCATTCACTGTTACTAGCCGACTTCCTTAATAGCCCTGTGCCTTGCTTGCTTCCAAAATGGGAGCAGTAATAATAGTGCTTCCTGCAAGAGCTGTTGGAACGAGGCACTTAGAGCCGGGCCCGGCACCCAGTAAGTGCAGTATGGCTGTGCTCAGCCATTCTTGTCGCAGAGCTGCCAACCGTGACTTCATGTGTCAGTCCCTTGACAATTCGATCGAATTTCCAACAACACCAGGAGGTCTGGCCTCCGCCCCAGCCAGTCTGCCCCGTGCCCATCTTTGCCATGCTGTTCTTTCTGCCTGGAATGCCCTTCCCTGCCCCCACAGCTGCCGGTGAAACCTGTATCTGTCTGCAGAACATAGGGCCAGTGTCACTTTTTTTTCCTTTTTTTGAGCTGGGGTCTCCCTCTGTTGCCCAGGCTGGGAGTCCAGAGGCCTAACCATGGCTCACCACAGCCTCAGCCTCCTGGGCTCAGGTGATCAATTCTCCTGCCTTGGCCTCTCAAAGTGCTGGGATAACAGCGTGAGCCACTGAGCCTGGCCCGAGTGTCACCTTAGCTGGGAAGCCTTCCTGATAGCACATGCGGTGGCCACGTCCCTTCTCAGAGCTCCCAGTCACACCTCTATAACAGCCCGTCCCACTGAATTGCCCCCACTAAACTGTGACTCCCAAGGACTGAGTGATCTGGGCACTAGCCACACCCCTAGTACATAGTAAGTGCTTTAAAAAAGTTTGTTGAATGTTAGCTGGGCGTGGTAGCGCGCTCCTGTAGTTCCAGCTACTTGGAAGGCTGAGGCGGAAGGATCGCCGGAGCCCAGCAGGTAGACGCTGGGGTGGCTGTGAGTGCCTGGGCGATGGAGTGAAACTCCCACTCAAAAAAAAGGAAAAAAAAAAAAGAAAGAAAAGAAACAGTTTGTTGAATGAATAAATGATTGAATGAACAAATAAACACATGCAAGAGTTTGAGATTTGAATGTGCAGTGGGTCCCCTGACCGAGTGGGAAGCTGGGAGTCCACGAGCTGCTTCGGGGTCACCTATGCCCCTCCCGCTCCTGTATCAGGGCAGGGGACCCATCTGCAGTCGCTAAACCCATCCTCATCCCAGCCCCCACCACCCCAGAGAGCCCACCAGGCATGCACCTGCCCCCAGGCAGCTACATACCGGGGAGAAGGGGGGCACCTGCAGCCACATGGGAGAAAACAGGAGGTTAAATGGGTCAAGAGATTCCCCCCACCCAGAAACCCCTCCTCATCCCAGACCCACCGGTCCCCAGTCTCCGGGTGTCCCCAAGAAGGCTTCTTCACATCGGGGTCCGGAGCCCTGCCAGGCCCTCGCTCGGACCCCCAGTGCTCGGCTCCCCTCCCACCAGGGCCCCGGTTGGGCTGGCTGGATGCGGCAGTGGGGGCCCGGCCCTCCCACCCCCCGGGGCCGCGTACTTGACGGTCAGGTGGCGGCTTTTGGGCGTGGACGAGGGCGGGCCCCTGGTGAGGTCCTCCACCGACTGCTCCAGGGGCTTGCCCCTCTCCGCGCTGGGGGCGCCGTTGTCCGTGTTCTCCATGTCGTACCTGGGTTGGGATGCAGGGGCTGGGGGCCAAAACCGCAGGGGCACGCGTGAAGGGCAGGGCAGGGAAGTCGGCTCTGCAGTAGGGACCGCGGACGGGAGGGGGCTGTGTCCCGGCGCGGGCTGAGCAGCGGGGGAGGGGCTGCCCTCCCTGCCCAGAGCAGGCCTTCGGGAAGGGGCATCGCTGGGCCACGGGCTTGGCTGCGGCTGCGAACTGGCCGGAGCAGAGGCTAGGTGCAGGGAAGCGGAAGAGTGGGGACTTAAGTGAGGGAGGCGGGGCCTTAAGGGAGGGAGGCGGGGCCTTAAGGGAGGGAGGCGAGGAAGGCGGGGCCTTACGGGAGGGAGGCGGGGCCTTGTGGAAGGGAGGCGGGGCCTTGTGGAAGGGCGGTGGGAGGGAGGCGGGGCCTTACGTGAGGGAGGCGGGGCCTTATGGAAGGGCGGTGGGAGGGAGGCGGGGCCTTACGTGAGGGAGCACTGCGCGAAGGCCAGGTACTCCAGAAGCACGTCCAGGCCGCGGTTCTCCTCATTGAGAAACTCCTGCACCCACCTGCGGGCACAGGCCCGTGAGCTCCAGCCAGGAAGGCGGTCCTGGCCCGAACGGGGACAGAGCAGGCACGGCCAGGGCCCGGGGTGCCCTCCCAAGACTAGGGATGCTGGGGTGGCGGCTTGAGCAGGACGCGGCCCAGCCACGCCTCGAGATG